TATATATATATATATATATATATATATATATATATATATAAACTGACAAAAAAGAGAAAAGTTCTTTCCTGAGTAATGTTGAAAAATGCCTTATTATGGGTCACACTATTAGTCCCCTTGGCTCAGTACTGTATGGATTTCCAGAATTTCAGACAGGAGTCCTCATCGATCTTTTTTTGGAAAGATTAATAACTAGATCTAGGAAGAGCTGCAATATGTGCTGTGGTATTGTTCTATTCACTGCTGCTTTTATCAAACTGCTGTTGAAAATGGCATTTTTCTTTCTGTCCCATGCAGGACCAGGAAAGCTCATTCCCAAGAGTATTGTCTGTTCAGAAACTATCCCCTAGATGGTGCTTCCTAGATGGTAAGAATTAATCACAGTTGGCTCCCATGACCTCACAAGAAAATGGCAGACTGTACATTTCTTTATATGTTTATCCAGAAATTAATTCTATCTTATTCAGGAATATTTGCTTCACACATTTGCTGAATAGTATTTCAAAAGTAAAAGTTTCAACTAGATCCAGGTTCTTCAAGATTTTATATATGGTTATTTGCTGAAATTCAGGGGGCTACCCATGATTGATAATAATGCATGGTGAAGGTATCTACATTGGATTCATCCTCATGTCATCTTTGCTGCAGCACAAAGATGGCTTTATAAGCATTTTTGGAGGACCTGTTCTCATGACATCATCTCAATCTCATCTGCCATCAATTGATGAGGCAACTGAGAGCTCCAATTTTGGAAGTAGTCTTCTCCTTTTTTGTCCTAGCACAAAACATTCAACGTGGACATTTAGAGCACCTCAAAGGATGACTTGGCCAGGGGCCATGACTTTTCTCAACACCAATTGGCTCAGTAGGTTTGTAGAAATGCGTCCTCCCTGCCCAGGTAGTGGATAATAATTGCCTGTGGTTATTTGGGTCATTTGTGAGGCAGAGTGGGCATCTCTTCTTTTTCTCTTTATCCTTGAATATTGAACTTCCAGGAGATCTGTCAGCTACCTGTACATCTACTAGCAAGCAAGAACCCTACAGTTTGGTTTTTGTGTATAAGTGTGTTAGTCTGTATTGAAGGTCATCAAGTAGAGGAAACACTTCTTATATGGACCAAAGCAAAAGTGGAATGAATGGTGATATATAAAGCCAGGGTTGGGATTTGGAGGTTCTCCGAACCAGCCATAACATTAGCTATGAGTCCTCCCAAACCCAGGTGAACCTGTAGCAGCCCACCCTCCTGCATAAGTGTGATTTAGGATTTTCTGCTTTTTATTCCAAATCACATAGGCAGACTTTTGAGAGATGGGAGGTCTTGGCATTGGTACTTATTTTGCTGATAGGACTGTAGCTTCATGGAACACTTTCATAGATGCTGCTGTGTAGAGGTGGCTTTCATAACCTCCAATTAGAAGCAATCCCAGGAGACTGACAGCCCTACCAAAAGAAGCATGCATGGAATAATAAAAATACAATGATTTTTTAAAAAGAAAGTTAATGCTTGTACTCCCAGCCCTATCAAACATGGGTTCAAGATAACGATGGATGCTAGCTTCATAAACAGAATGCAAATTTCTAATTGTTTATAGCTTATAGCTCTTAGTTCCATATACATAAAGTATGACTATCATTGGACTGTATTAAACTGTATGTGTTTTTCACGTGAATTAAATATTAGTCTATAGAGACTGACTACATGAACATTTTTATGGTGGTTCCCAAGAATAAATTTAGAGTTGTGGTTGTTTATTGTTAAGATCATTGTTCAGGTTTGGAAATGTAGCAAGTTTGAAATGTTTTATTCAGAAATACTCTTTAAATAAATTCAGAATTCTCATACTTTCATCAAGAGCAAATATTCACAAAATAAAGCTTCCGAGCACTCACATAAATTTCTCTTTCTCTCTGTCTCTCCCCTCTCTTTTGGTGCCAATCCAGTAGTTTATAAGCTTTGTTCATAGTAAGCAACAGATTGTGAGTTGATAGCTTGTTTTAGGGATGTTGGGAGGAGCTCTCTCTCTCTTTTTTTTCTGAAAAAGCTACATTATATTTCATGAATCCGAATGAGATCTGTGTTGTAATGGTGTTCATATAGGTTTAATATTCAACATTCCAAGGATATGGATTAATGGTTCCACTGACTAAAATTCCAGCCCACCCAATTCCATCCAGCAAATGAAATGGGCATGCACAATGCTCCGATAACTGTATGCATATTTCTTTTTTCCCTATTACCGTCAACCAATTGAGCTACCCTAAAACTAAGGGTCAGCTGGCAGACAATTGGATCTATCAACCTCCAGATGGCAGCCAAGAGTTATGATTTTTAAATGTCTTGGCTACCCTCTAGTGGTCATCAAAATGTCTTTAGCTGAAATCAAGACAATGCAAAGGTATTGTTGAGGAGCTGGAAAAAGGAATTTAGCCAGGGGTCAAATGCTACTGGTTTGGGCTGGGTCTCCCAAACTGGTAGTAAAAAAATGCTAAAAAGGGGGGGGGGGATTCAAACAGTCATGCAGCACAGCTGATTGTCACATAGCCGATGATCAGAACTTTTTTTTAAATTTGTAAAACATTTTTTTTAATACAGATTCTCCCAAACTGGTAATTAAAAAATGCTAAAAAAAGTTTTTGAAAAGTTCTAACGATTATGTGGCACAGCTGATTGTCACACAGAACTTTTTTTTAGCATTTTTTTTTTTACTACCTGTTCTCCCAACTTCAGAGTATTTCACCCCTGAATTTAGCTCTGGGAGGTACATACTACCTAAGAACAGAAAGTCAGGAGTCAGGGCTTCCCTGGAAGCAACAGCCAACTGGGAAGGGAATTCCTTGCCAGGCAGGTTTACAAAAAGCCAAATCTTTTCAATTTGCCTTCCCTTCCTGGGAGGCAGTACTGGAATTCTGTTGTGCTGTTGCAGAGCATAATAAAATAATGTTGAAATCCTGACAGAGATTCTTTCTATCACCCTGTTTCTTATACCAAAGAGAATCAAGGTAGGGCAATCTTGAGTTTCTTTCTCATTGTCTCCTCTTTAGAGGTTTACTTAATGGCTGTTGAATACTTTCTCCAAGGCCATCTCTATATTCTTCACTATAGTTATACTTCCAAATACTTGCATGAAGCCAGCCATCTTATACTGACAATACCAACCACTACCAAATTCATTTATGTTTAGACTTAGTACGAGCAGGAAAACCTCATGGCTGTAACATCTGATTTAATTTTGGAATGTATTTCTAATTTCTTCCCATTCCCTTCCTTTTTGTGCCATCGTGCTTAATGGAGAGGTCTGAAGAAGTGAAAAGTTTCATGCTCTTTTGTCTCAGTTTCATTGGTCCCAATTGAGGTATTGCTTAGCTGCGTAGTTTGGATATTTTCCCCTTTCTGATGGATCAAACACAGTTTTTCACACAAGTCTTTCCTCGTTTTTTTGCAGCAACTTCTGCTGACCGCTTTTACCGCATCGACAGAACTCAGGTACAGAGATGATGTTGCTTTCCTTTTAACTTCTTTTTTTTTAATAGCACAGAATTGGGTTCACCATTATAATAAGAAAATATGGGTCTTGTCAAATGTGACTCTCCTCCTATTATATACTTGTCTATATTTCTTCTCTCCAGAGATTCTCAAGGGCCTCTAAAACTGTCAAAAATAAATAAAGTAAAATAGACTTCTTCTTTTTTCCAGTTAGGAAAAGAAAAATAAGTACTTTGAGGTCTGCATTCCACACAAAATTTCAGCTCTTCCCATTTGACTAGGATGGTATAAGGTCTCCTGCCTTGAACAGAGGGTTGGACTAGAAGACCTTTGTGGTCCCTTCCAGCCTTATGATTCCGTGCCCTATGTTTTTTCTGAGTTTCTTTCTCTCCTCATTATGCAGTTATGATGCTGCACATTAATTAGTAGCATCTGTTCCTCCATCTCTCAAAGTCATTCCTATATAGCAATAGCACTTAGACTTATAGACTGCTTTGCAGTGTTTTATAGCCCTCTCTAAGTGGTTTACAGACTCACCATATTTTCCCCAACAATCTGGGTCCTCATTTTACCGACCTCGGAAGGGTGGAAGGCTGAGTCAACCTTGAGCCTCGTGGGATTTGAACTGCCAAATTTCAGGCAGCCGGCAGTCGACAAAAGTAGCCTGCAGTACTGCACTCTAACCACTGCACCACCGTGGCTCATATATACCATGATGCCTACTTGTAGTATGTAAGACTGTTTCATTTAACTTTGTAGAAATGCAACAGATTCTTCAGGAATGCTTCACATCATTATGGATTATTTTGCTTTAATGATAAATTAAAACAATAGCATTGATTTACAATAAATGAATTCACAAGTACATAAGTCTAATATCTGAAAATTAAACCTAACATATTAACACCACAATATGATTAATATTAGTCAATATTGAAACATCAAATATTTAAATTTATTATTCTATTAATTATTAATGTTAAGAGCCGAATATCAAATTTGAGAAACTCTGTCGCATTGTCCTTACTGTGATTTTTAATTTAGAGCCATGTTTTGCCATGTAAATTAAACACCTTATGAAAAATTGGCCCAAGGCACCCAAGGTCAAAGAAGATTTAAACCGAGAAGGATGAGTTTTCCTCTTTTTGCTTAAATCAGTTTGATGTTTAATAGCATAGATTCGTCTTCTTTCCCCCCCTTATCTTCATGAGCTTAGGAAAGCTACATTAAAAAGAAAATCTTAGAGTTTATCTTAGTGTCTACAGTTCCACAAAAATCCTAATCCTCTATTTGTGAGATAAGGTGACTCTGGAAATTATGATAATGTTGGGCCTAAATAAAATATTCACAAAGCTTAAAAACACATCAAATTAAAGTGACAGCATTTGTCAAAAACATAACAATTTATGTGTTGGTTGGACACTGTCTGGAAGTTTTACAAATATGGAAGCCATTCAGATTGGGTTTGCTTTTATTGATTTTTTTTGTTTAATTCATTTAGTTTCTGTTCAGCTGTAAAGCAGAAGCCAAAATTGCGTTTAGTCCTTTGGGGCAATTTAAGAAAGGTCTGCTACATCAAAACAGTGGCTTATACAGTTCAGCTATTTCTACCCGCTGCAATTGAAAAGAAATTACACTGCACAATTCTAGGCATGCTTATTGGGAAGTAATTCTCCACTGAATTCAGTGGAATTTGCACGAATAAATCTATATCTTTAGCAAATTAGTATTGCACTTTCTAGAACAGGAAATAAACCTGAGAAATTAAGATTTATCCTAGCCACTGAGCAGATGGATTTCCTATGATGATCTCCTTATCTCTGGAGCTAATCCATTTACAAAGGATCTTCCTGTATAACTACCCTACTTGTGGTTGTCAGCTGAAAATGATTGGCAAACTCACAAACCTGCAGTGCTGAAAAAGATGCAGCCATTCTCAGAAATACATGATATTTTGGGCATGAATGCAGGGGTGGTATACATGTACCTTCCCTACCGATTCGCAAATGTGAGCATGTGCGAGCACCTCCGCGTATGCGGATATCCTTCCATATGCACTTTTGGTGAGAAAATGGCCTAAATGGGTAGCCGTAGAGTTGTGCGCGGGTGGGCGGACCCACCCATGATTTCCACTACCGGTTTGGGCGATCCAGTTCGAACTGGTAGAATACCACCTCTGCATGAAGGGTTGGCTGGCTATAAGCAAGGAGCTGCTATGAATAGAATTTTGACCATTCTCCATGCATTGACCCACAGCTCCTTCCTCCAGAAGAGCTTTCTGCAAATGCCCCCAAATGTGTTGGGACTACAGATTTCAGAATACGTAGCCAATATATCTGGTGCATTCTTGGGGTTGCAGTTCTTATATTTGGAACTTTTAATTTTAATTCAGACCCACGTTTTCCCATGTAAATTAGACACCTTATGAACAATTGGCCCAAGGAACCCAAGGTCAAAGAAGATTTAAACCAAGAAGGAATGAGTGTTACATTTTTTGCTTAAAACCATGTTGAGGAAGGTGGATTTAGAAATCATATTAAGTTTATATATGTCTGTCTGTCTGTCTGTCTGTCTGTCTGTCTGTCTGTCTGTCTTTGGTTATTCGGGTTTTCTCCCACGTAAAATTGGAGGTGTCTTGACGTTTCGACGAAGTCTCATTTGTCATCTTCAGGCTTCGTGCTTCCAGGAGCAATGTGAGATCTTGGCTGTTTCTTCCTTTTAACTGCCAGCCGGGGTTTGAGCTGATTGGGTGGGAGCTTGGCTGTTGTTGGCCAATTTTACGCGGGAGAAAACCCGAATAACCATATATATATATATTTCCTGAATAGAATTGTGCTGCTGATTGCAATAAACAATGGATTTTTTATTTTAATATCACTGTTGCAGGAACATTTGCACTTTGTGACAGAAATATCACAGGATGAGATTTTTATCCTGGATCCAGAATTGGGGGCAGCTCAACCAGCAGGGACACCTCCAGGAATGCCTGACCTGGTGGTAGAGCAGGCTTCTGGGTAAGGCTTCTGGATTTTTTAGTTTCTCTTCTTTTATTTTCATACACAATTTTCCATATCCTTAAAGATGGATCTCACATGGAGGTTTTTGTTCAAGCATATTCTTTTTCTAAACAACTTGATCCTTCTGTTTTCCAGGTGCTTTAAGCTATAGCTTCAAATCATTATTGGCTATGATGAATGCCACAAAGCAACTCAAAGTTGCTATATCACCTACATGATATCTACATTTATATCTTCAATGTCTGTTGTCATTGCAATGTGATGACACCTTAATCTATTCCCTTCTTTATTCAGTTTTAGTGGTGCTTCTGACATTGCTGGATTTCAATTCCCAGCAGCCCAAATATGGCCAATGATGAAGGACATTAAGAGTTGGAATTAGTTGCCTTTTGAAGGACTGCCATTCTAGACTCCCAAGAAGTCATAGCAGTTGGGACCAGAATTTCTATCGCTAAGTGGTGCAGCCATTTCTTAGTGATGGCAACCTTAGTAGCTTTACTTATTTTATTTATTTATTAAATCTATATGTTGCCTATCTTGCTATCTAAACAGACCCTGGAAGAGCAGTTGCTGTCGTAATCCCAGGATCATATGGGTTGTTAAGTGGGAAGAGGTGGGAGTCCCAGGAAAGCAGATTCACTGGTGAGAGCTTTGGGTGAGAGCTACTGACAGGTAGATGGATGTCATGAGGGATGCAGGCAAGCACTGGAGTTGCTCAGGTGGCATGGTAATGCATAGGTGCTATGGACAGATGCTAGAGAGCAGATGAGTTGGTGCCACAGGAAGGTCTGCAGCAGGGGTGAAATCCAGCAGGTTCTGACAAGTTCTGGAGAACTGGTAGTGGAAAGTTTGAGTAGTTTTGAGAATCGGCAAATACCCCCTCTAGCTGGCCCCAGAGTGGGGTGGGAATGGAGATTTTGCAG